AGAAAGAAAGAAAGAAAGAAAGAAAGAAAGAAAGAAAGAAAGAAAGAAAGAAAGAAAGAAAAGGAAAAGAAAAAATAAGCGAGAAAAAAAAATCTCCTGGCCAAAAAAAAAGAAAAAAAGGTTGGAGCCGAGCGCCAATCAAGTAAAATGCAACTTTCGGAGGTCGCGGCGCTTGTGGTCGCCCTCATTGGGGTTTGTGTCTGGACGGAGGACGGGAGCAAAGTTATCTCGGATCGCTACGCGGTGTACTGGAACAAAACCAATCCTAGGTAAGTGGGGAGGAAAAAAGGGACCGAGCTGAGCTGATGGGGAGGGGGGGTGTGTGAAAAAAAGAAAAGCTTTTTGTCTGTCTTCAGTTGCATTTGAACGGGGTGGGGCTCTGGGAGGAGAAGAGGTTGGGGAATTGAGTGTGGGGGGGTCCTTGGATTTTTCCCGTAGTTTTTTTTTTTTGGTGGGGGGGACACACACGACATGTTGGATAAAGTGGAAGGAAGAAAAGAAGTTTTTCCACTTTGGATGCCTGAAATGGAGATAGCGATCTTGTCTCTGGCTCCCTTTGCAAAAGACATTAACTAGAAAAATTGCTGCAAAGAGACGCTGGAGGAAATATTTCCAGCTCAGTTCAGGGGGGGAAAAATTGCTTCTTCCAAACTATCAACCTTATTATTATTTTTTTAAATGCATCCCACACTATAGCTTGTATCATTTACAAGCTGTGCAGAAGACAGTTTGAAAGTGGAATTTTGTCCTGTCTGTGGTGTGAGGAAGATCAACGTACAAACTCTTGGGAAGTGACCTGTTTTTTGTTTTAAATGATGACCATTTTTGGGGGGGGGGGGGGGGGCAGGGAGGGCATAATTTTTTGGCTGGCAGAGAGGTGCTATTTTGGTCTCTTTCTAGCTCAGCTGCTGCATCCTTGTGTCATATCTGGGTTTGTCTGGAAGTTCAGATCAGGCAATCCCATCTTCCTAAAATTTGTAATGATTGCAAATAGTTTTCTTTATATCAAGGGCTGTAAGAATACCTCGCATAAAACACTTTTGGTCTCTTTTTTGCAAATTGATATTTGCTTAGTCATCGTTGGGGAGGGTGATGGCAGGTGAATGTTTATTCCTGGATTTATTTATTTTTTTTTAAGCAAAAAATTGGGTCAGGTCATCTTTCCACTACCAAACGCTCTGGAGGCCAAGAACGCCAGATTTGCTTAAATTTCACATCTCTTTGCTAGTTTCAGGCTAACTTGGATAAATTTCACTGGGGTGCCCTCCATCTTTCATCTCTTCACCATGCTTCAAGTCCCCCAAATAATTCAACATTTGGGGGTATGGACACACAAACACACACAGACATCCATAGACAACACACTCAGTCACGGACAAGCAGCTGTCCTACATTTTGGCACCTTGTTGAAAATAAGAAATATTTAAATCAGTCATCCAGAAGTCAGTTCTAGGAAGTCATAAGACTGTGCAGCCAAGGAGAACAATTTTCTGAAGCGGTGCAGACTGTAAAATCAATTATATGTCACTTAAGGTCTCGATCTTGTCAAATTAAAACAGTTTTTCTACTGTGCCTCTCTCTTTCTCGCTCTTTTTAACCACTTTGGATGGAAATATGGTTTTCTTTTGTCCTTTTTTTTTTTAACTTGCTGGACCAAATAGGCAGACCTTATTATTTTTCCCCCCCCACAGCTTGAAGGGAAAAGTTTTATATATTTCCAATTTAGATGGGAGTGGAGAGAGTTGCCTTCCAAATGTGACACTGTCTAAAACTGAGCAATTTTGGGAGCATCAGACTGGCAAATGTTAGAAGCTCACCCAAATATGGTGACCCAATGGATTTTTGGTGAAGGGCACGATAGTTGATTACATTTTTTCATTCGGGGTGATTGGGTTAGATTGCTTCTCTCCACTTCTGATATAAAGAACCCTAATTGGTTGGGTTATAATGGTCAGGTAAACCCGACATTCCTGGAATGTGGGGTCTGTTTGTGCCATTCTTGTCCATGCCAGTCTGTAATGTGAACACAAAACAGTGTTTAAACGAGTCCTCTTACTAGATCCAAAGTAGGGCTAAACATTCAGAAGTGACTTTTTCCCCCCTCGCTGAGGGCTTATAACAGCTTTCTGAAGTAGTTGAAACAGACTGTTGGATGAGAGCCAAAACTTTGATTGCTCATAATGGACAGGATCTTAACCCCAAAATAACAGCTTCTTCCTTTAATCTTAGCAAACTCTAAGTCCCCCCGCCTCCCCCCCAAAAAAAACCCTTTCGGAAAAAGTGGTTCTTATTCAGTCTCCCAGTTGAAGGAAAAGCTGGCATTTACATTCCCCTTTTTCTCCCCGTTTAGTATTTCATACATTGTGTTTAGTATTTCATAAATGGTGCATCGCTTCCGAATCTTTCACCGGTCCGTCGTTTTCTCTTTAACACTCAAAAACCTTAGGAAACCTTTTCCGTTTTGTTTCCTTTCTGCAATTTGAGCCCAACTATAAAAAGGAGAAGTTCCTTCTTGATCCAGAGAGAGAGAGAGAGAGAGTAAGGTAGTTTCCCAATATAATATTCTAATTTATTTAGAGCAAAAGTTTAAAAAAATCGCCACAAAATTAGCAGTCTGTGGGATACTTTTCGGGAACAACAGTAAAATAATGCCTGCAGGGGTTTTTTTGTGAGTGCCTTGGCTAAGGTTGAAGGTTTTGTGTCTCTTGGCACAAGTTGTGTTGTGACACTTGTTTTCAGCGCCTCTTAGCTACCTGCTGATGTGCCAGGGCTGTGTTAATGCGTGCAGAAATGGACTGGGGTGTCATCCGATTATGGAAAGGCCCACAACAGACAGAAAGTCTGAATTGTTCGCTGGCAGCCGATTGTCACCAAATAAAAACATAAAAAATATCTCCCCACTGGACACAAATACCTCAACCAACAGATTTGTGGGGCTCTTAATGGAAGGGTACTCTTGGTTTGTTCACAACTCAGAGTCTTTACGAGAGTCTTACGAGAGTCTTCTCTCTGCCCACTTCCTGCCCTGATGAATAAAGAGCTTCATTCTACAACAAAATGTTTTGGGTTTGAAGGAAACTGTCGTATAAGGAAGGATACAGGAGAAGTTTAGAGGCCACCTTGGACATTATGGCTGAGATTTGAGGGACGTATCTCTGGGGACTATCATATTCTCTTGGCACTTGTCCTCTTCTGGGACAAACTTTGGTCTTTGCCATCATAGTTTAACAACCTGAAGAACTGGGGATAATTTAATCTTTTCTATTTGTGGGTATGGGGTGGTTGAAGCTAACCTACGTGAGTCACATGGATTATTTTTCTCACGGAGGAATTAACCTCTTACATTTTTTTTCTCCTTTCCCCCGTGTTTGCATTGTTATTTCCACTTTTTTTCCCTCACCTCAAAATCCTAAGAGAGGAATTTGCCTGATTTGAGCTGGTTTTTATTTTTTTTAAAAGCCAGTGGGCCACTGACTTTCATTGGACCTTGCCTTAAAAAACGCAATCCTTATTTTGTCACTGTTTGTGTGGCTTTCTTTGTGTGATGTGGAAGATATTTTATGGCAAGTGGGTTATTTTTGGGTCTGGCCCCACCCTCCCATTTCTTACATCATTGATAATTATGATTATCTACTTCCTGATTCTTGGCTTTGTAAAAATTAGTGGGTCCTCTTGGTGGGAATCTCTGAAAGCTCCAGGATGTAGCTTTGAAAAAATGTGAAATATTTGGAGTCACTGTTCTGCCCCCCCCCCCCCCCAAAAAAAAAAAAAAAATTGGAAAAGATTACAAACTCTTACAAATTAAAGAAAAAATGTGTCTCATGCAGAGCCAGGACTTCAACACCAATGAACATAAATAGTCACTAGACTTAAATTAATATTTTTTTCACCATCCTATCAGTACATACTTCAAGCGAATGCCTGTGAATTATCCCAAAAATAATACAGATTGTGGCTGTGTTATTTTTCTGTGAATTTGCCTATGGAAACAAACCCAACTTCCTAGTTTATTCTCATATTGTTAGCGTTCGCAGGTAAAACATAACCATCGCATCCACAATTGTTCTTTCCTCCCCCCCCAAACCAAAGAAAATCAGATGTGCAAAAATAGTTTGCAGTGATGGGGTTGCAAAGAGGCTGATTTTGGTTCTGACTAATCACAATAGCAAAATCCAGCTAGCAGTTCTTTCACGGTGTCAGTTTTGTGGAAAGTGTGTCAATTGTGTTGAAACTTAAGTGGGTAAGAGTTTGTATTGTTAGGACAGCATTGCTTCCTATCCTTTAGAGTGACAAAACGGTGTCGATTAGGGAATCGTTTCCTAAAAGAACTTGGAAAATAAGAATTTCAAAGTAGATTTTGCCCAACACTTTAGGGGAAAAAAAGGTTCTTCTCAGTTTTGAATAATATCCATAACTGACAGATATAGTTTCAGCAGCTGAAAAATAATGATTTCTGGTTCACAAGTAGGAAAAGAAGGCCCTCAGTAAGATGAATGCACCTTGGTCTGAAATTCAAGATTTGTATATAAATCCACTACAAAGTCCTGAATGTACAGTGGAAATTAGGAAGCTCAAGAGATGAAGTCACGATAATTTACCCTTTTTTCCCCCCCCTTTTGGAAGGCTGAGGAAGATCCGAAGATGTAAAAATCCCACAAAATCTTTCACGTCTATAATTTCCTTTTCTCTGCAGCTCTCTTTCTCCCTTTCCCCATTTTATTATTCCCCTCTGAAAGCCACCGTTTCTGTCTTGTGGCACATTCGCCTCCTCGTCTAAGTAAAGGGGATGCCTTCCTTGATAATTGTGTCTAAATTAAAAATCAATTGTAAATTGAGACACCGGGAACTTCGCCCATTCTGAATGTAATTTTTGATCACCCGCAGGCATGCTTGATATCACCGTGTTTTATGTGGTGGCCATGGGTCTGGAGAACATTGAGAAATGTTTATTAAATATGTCTCTGTGTAGGCTGTTGATTGAAATACCGGCGGGTGGGAAAGGTTAGGCGTTAGACAAGGGTGGAGAGTCCCGTGTGTGTTTAAATGATATGTGTGTGTGTCTGTGTATGTTTGGGGTGGGGGCGGGGTGGTATTTTTTAATCTGAAATTCCTCAAGCCAAGCTGAGGTTGAATTTAAAAAAACAACAACCTAGGCATTGTAGAATCCTGCTGTCATCCCAGCAAAACGGCCGCCATGTTACATTTCCAGCAAGAAAAAAGGCCTATCTTGAGATAGGTCTGCATGTTGAGCAGAATTCAACTTGTGAGT